GTGGGGAGGAACCGGCCCCACAGCCAGACGCATGAGCCTGCCCGTTGGGCTCGGGGGCGGGTGCAGTGGTGACCCTCGCAGCACTAGGCGGCGACCACCTGAGCGGAACTGCCAGAGCGCCAGGCTGCTGTCCATCTCCGCCACGAGCAGCAGCCTGAGGTCAGGCACCGGCAGGCAGCAGGTGGGCGCCCAACCCGGGGCCCTGCCCACCCGCTGCTCGCTCAACCACAGCAGGCTGAGATTGGGCCTCAGAATGGCCAGCCCCGCGGGGCCCCAGCCTACAAAACGGCCCACGGCACCCAGCGGGCCCAACACGGTCACCAGCCCCGTAAGCCCGACAGGCGCCAGCAGCGTCTCCTGTGCCCAGCCGTCTTCCTTGTGCAGGTGCAGGCGGCCCGCGCCGTCCAGCACCACGAAGCGTCCGCCCACCGGGTCCTGTGCCACTGAGCGCAGCCCGGCTGCCACCTCCAGATGGCGCAGTGGCTCCAGCCCATGGGTCAGGCACGCCACGCGCAGCTCGGCTCTCTTCTCCTGTGGGCCGGGGCGAGCGGACCCGCCGTCAAAGGTTGGGGCTGCTCCGGCCTAGGGAACCCCTAGGGGAAGGACCAGATCCCGAAAGAGGCCTGGAGGCACAGGACGGGCACAGCGCACCTTTTCCACGACCTCGTGGAGGCTGGTGCGCAGAAGCAGCCACAGCCGGCGGGCGCGGGCGCGCGGGGTCAGGCTTTGCCACTGCTGGCTGCTGGTCAGAAAGGGCAGGACCTGCGACGGCTCCGTGAAAGTCAACTCTGCGGGCGGGAACTGGAAGTTCTGCCACCTACAGCCTCAGGTCCCCGACCCTGACGGTTATGGGGAGCCCTCCTCCAGGGGCCCTGCCCTGCCAGGCACTGCCCAGGGGAGTTTCATTCCAGGGGATGGAACCCAAGCCCGACTGAGACCCACTTCCTGGCGGATGCCTGTGGGACGAGGCCAGGACCCCTCACCATTCTTTTCGGTGAGCAGCCCAGGGTCTGGGACATCATAGACATCTGCATCATACAGGTCCGAGTCCAGAACTAGGTTGTAGCCTTCTGCCTCCCACGCCTCTGCCTCCATTTCTGCAACTGCGGTCCCAGAACCCAACAGCTCCCAGGACTTAGCGGTCACGGCCGGCAGCGGCAGTTGCTAGGATACCAGATGCCGCTGGCCACTCCCACACCGCAGGCCCCGCCCCCACATCGCATCCAGGTCCACACTAAGTCACAGAAACTTTTATTGGAAAGAAATGAGCTGCAGCAAAGTGACACTCAGTGCACGCGGCCAAATGGTCGAGGTGGGGGTACAGGTGGGCACCAGGGGCCGGCCCAAGACCAGAGCTGGTGACCGCCGGGGCCTGTTTGCGGGGCCTCCGGCCACAGACCCTTTGGGCTGGAGTGTGCAGGCCCAGTAGAAATACAAAAATAAACTCTGTGGTCCAGCTCTCCCTGCTGTGGCAGTTCATTTGGGCAGGGCAGTCACTCTTCCCACCAGGCCCCCTGCTGCCGAGTCCGGCCACAGCACGGGCAGCAGGAGTCTGAGGGGTGAGTGGGCATCCACAGGATGGAGCCAAAGGGCTAGGCAGGTATGGCCTTGGGCAGTGCCAGGACTATGGCAGCGCCAGGGTCTGGCCAGCAGCTGGGGAGGCCCCAGGGGCCTCTCAGGCGGGCAGGTCCAGGCATTGGTTGAAGCTGGATGAAGCTGGGGCCTCGGCTCCTCCTCATCAAATACAGATCACTGGGACCCTGGGCGGAGGTTGGCACACAGTGGGCCTTTAGGAGCCACCACTTAGACCAAGTAGAGGAGGCCCCCACCCTGTTGTACCCACTCCAGGTTTCAGGGACCCGGGTCATGGCCCCCATCACACACCTGTCCTCCTCCATGGTGTTCGTCTCCTCGGCCCCACCCCCACTGCCTCCGCTTCTGCTTTCTTCCTCCAACTCCTCCTCCCCCAGCTCCATGTCCAGCTCATTGCCTGCTTCTGAGGGCGTGTAGGTGGAGCCACTGAGGGGAGGCAGGGAAACCAGTTTTAGGACCCCCTACCCAGGCCTGCTGCTGGCCCCAGGAAGGATGTTCAGGGAGGACAAAGCTGGGTGGAGATGGCACAGCTAGGGAAGTTGTATCGGCTCAACAGAGAGGTGGGGGAGGAGGCAGACGGTGCCCACCTGATGGAACGGCAGCTGAAGAAAACAATTCGCTTGAGCCGCTTATTGTAGAAGAAGTAGTTGAAGGACCAGAGGCTACCATCCTCCCCGAAGGGGTCTGAATCCAAGTCTGGGTTATAGCTGGGGAGTATAGGGTGACAGGTGGTGTGAGGGATGGGGGCCCACCTGCAGGGATGCTGGCCCACCTGCAGGGATGCCGGCCCACCTGTAGATGTCACATTCAGCCAGGCAGATCTCCTCGTCCACAGCGTTCCACAGCTGTGGTTTCAGGGCCTTGAAGTCCTCCCGCACAGCTGAGAACAGACTGCAGTTGACTGCATTCACCACCTAGAACAGGTCACAATCAGGCTGACAGGAGCCCAGGGCTACCGAAAGTGGGGAAGAACAGTGGGGTGGCTGTGGGTCCCTTCCCTCCACCTGACCCTCACCCAGCTAAGGCTGGGCTCCCGGCTGAACTCATGGCTGCGCGCTGTGCTGAAGTCATAGTCAGGCCTGAAGGACTCATTGAGTGTGGCAATCAGGTAGAAGAGGGTCTTGCGGCTGCACTTGTCACTGAGGGGGCCCTCGTCCTCGCCGCCTTGGCTTTTGCTGAGTCTGCACAGAGAGAAGCATCAACTAGGCCCATCACCTCCTCTCAACCCCCAGCCCCAGGCAGCCCCCACTATGGCTCACCTACTGGGGCTGAGGCCTGAAGTCTGGGGTGGAGAGAGTGCCTCCAGCACGTGGGGCTGGCCCTCCTGGCAGAACTGCTTGAACATGTGTTTGTCATCTCCTGCCATCTTACATGAGTAGCTCTCAATCCTATAGGATGCAGAGAGGACCATGATGCATGCTTCCCCCAGGTTCCATTGAAGGGTGGGGCAGTGTGACCTCCGAGATGCCAGCCCCGCGCGCCCCCCGCCCTGCCTCACCTGCCGATGATGTGGGCGTCTCCGGTCTCCACAGTCAGCTGTGAGTTGATGGCTTCAAAGCTCGAGTTCTCCAACAGCTTCATGTCCTTGGGAAGGGGGCTTTGTGCTCCAGAGGAGCTAGTGTTGCCTGGGGAGTGACAGGCCAGACCATGGGTATCCATCTGGCCCCTTGGGGCCCTGCCTTCAGCCCTCCTACCCACTAAGTGGAGCCGCTGGGAACAAGCTGAGTCTGGCCTCTGTCCAGGCTGCACATCAGGAACTCCCCTCTCTGCCCCGCCAGGAGAGGTTACGAGATCTTGTTTTACCTGAGGGTGGCAAGTCCAGGCTCCAGGTCAGCCACACCCCCTGCAGAACACGCGAGTTCTGGGACTAGGCTAGGACCACCGGGGACCCTGCTCACCCTGGGGCTGCTGGTTGAGTTTGTCGCTCAGCATTGCCATTGCCATTCCCCATCCCCACCCCCACCCCGAAAGAACAGCTCCAGCCACCATGGGGGTAACTCTTGAGTCCGTAACGGGACATGATTTCTGCAGTCTCCCTCAGGCTGGCTGGGCTCCTCAGCCAGGGTAAGAAGCTGCATCCCGGTTAGGAACCAGGACACCTGGGGCTCCGGGCCCTGCGGTCACCTGGGCGGGCGCTCTTTCGTTCTGGCTGCTTTCTGGCCCGGGGAGACGAAAGCTAGAGGTTCCTCCACTTTACCCGGAAAAAGCGCCTAGTTTCTCCAGACGCCTAGGAGGGCGGTCCCTCGACCCCGCCGGGGCGCTGCAGAATCGCCAGGCAGCGCCCGCCGGGGCCGGGTAGGGCACCCGCCGAGCCGCGGTGGAACTACAAATCCCAGGAGGCAGCGCGCCGCGCGAGGCCTGCTGGGGGCTGTGGTTCCGGAGGCCCGAGGCGGCGCGGGGCGCAGGGCGGACACCCACCTGCCTGGCTGGGTTAGATCTGGCCTCGCCGGGTCGGGTCTGGCTGGGGTGGGTCGCTCCGCGTCGGTGCCGGTGCGCAGGCGGGGGCGGGCTCCGCGCAGCGCGGGCTCCTCAAGATCGGAGGGCGGCGCCGCGGCCTCCGCTCGGGCCGCACTGTATCCGGGGGAAGAAGCTCCGCGGCGACGTCCCGTTACTCCTGGCCCTGCCGGCCCATCCGGGCTGCCACCGCGACATAGCCTCGCCCCCCTGCACAGAGCCCGCTCTCGCGACCGACCTGCCGCCGACCGCCACAGAGCGCCCCGGCGAGTCAGCGAGCCGAGCGAGCTAGCGACCTCCGCCTCCCCCGACCGGACAACAACAAGCGTCCGCCAGGCCCGGCCCCGCGCCTCTGAATGGCCCGCTCCAGTCGCCGGGATCGAGAGCTCGAATAGCAATCGGGTGCCTTACCCGCCACTCAGTTGTGCTTTCTATGTCTACTGGTTGTGGAGTCTGTCTGTCACGCCTCTCGCCGTACTAACCCGCCCATCCCCAGCGCTTATTGGCCATGGCCTCTCTCGCTCCGCCCCCGAGGGGGTCGACCCCTTAACCAGAGAGGCACGGGCCAACCTAGTGCGTCGTGTGGGCGTGGCGGGGGCTGCGGTCTGCGGGCGAAGGTGGCTGCCCATTGGAGGTCCCGGAAGTGATGTCCAGCTGCCGCCAGGCGCTGGGATAGTCGCTGGCCGTCTGCATCTCCACCCGCCGAGCCCCTGGGGCGAAGAGGCAGCGTCCTTCTTCAGTTGTGGCCGGTGCTTCGGCCCCTTACCCTTCGCCCCCAAAGACCAGCTCAAATGTGAGCGCCTCCGCCGCCCTGCCCCAGCCTCGTACACGCCGCCGGCCTTGCCCAGCCCGTGGGCCGTGTCCATTTCTGGGCAAAGCCAGCGGGGCAGGCTTGGCCAGGGTGCACAACTCGGCGCCGTCCCAAGGCCGACGCTCTGTGCGCGCCCGGAACTCTAGGCTTGCGGCCAGGGTTTCCGACGGGCGGAGACGCTTAGCGGCCAGATCCCACGGAAGCGCGCTCGGAGGGCCGGGACCCGGCCGGACCGGAGATGGCGCCGCCAGCGGGCGGGGCGGCGGCGGCCTCGGACTTGGGCTCGGCCGCAGTGCTCTTGACTGTGCACGTCGCTGTGAGGCTGCTGGGCGCCGGGCCAGACGCCGAGGCACAGCTGCGGAGGCTCCAGCTGAGCGCGGACCCTGAGCGGCCTGGGCGCTTCCGGCTGGAGCTGCTGGACGCGGGACCCGGGGCGGTGAGTGGGGGCGGAGGGTGCGCAGTCAGTCCTCTTGGCCCGGGCAGGGCACGGAGCCCAAAGCCAGGCCCCTCCGCTTGCCATCTGGGTGCCCTTAAGCAGTTACGTTTCTTTGCTTCTCTTTTCTTGTCCGTGAAATGGGGGGTGATGCTGGGACCTACTTTACAGGACTATTGTGAGGATTTGATGATAGGCGTACAGGACTTAGGACCTTGAAATGGCCTATAAATGTTATCTTGTGTTTCTTTGCTCATCGTGCGATGTAGGGCGGGGGAACTCCCTGAGCCTGGACTCTCCCCCTTCTCAGGTCAATTTGGAGTGGCCCCTGGAGTCAGTCTCCTACACCATCCGAGGCCCCACCCAGCACGAGCTCCAGCCTCCGCCAGGAGGACCTGGAACCCTCAGCCTGCACTTCCTCAACCCTCAGGAAGCTCAGCGGTGGGCCGTCCTAGTCCGAGGTGCCACCGTGGAAGGACAGAATGGTCAGTGCCCTGTAATGGATACTCATTTGGAATAACCTTGGCCCCCCAGTCTTGGTTGGGGAAGTTGGATCCACCTTCCAACTTGGAGTACTTGGAGTGGCTCCTGGAGTCAGTCTCCTGCACCATCTGAGGGCCCAGCCAGCACAAGCTGCAGCCTCCACCAGGAAGCCCTGGAACCTCAGCTGGCACTTCCTTAACCCTCAGGAAACATGAGAGGCAAGCATGAAGAGGCGGAGCAGGCAGGGTCAGGACCTGTGTGAGAAGACATCATCCAAAGAGCAGCAGGAGGGTGACAGGAGTGGGAGAGTGACAGACTCAGATACCTGCTGCTTAAGACAGAGTTCTGCAGTGGCAAGGGTTGTGCAGATAGGGTTGGGGAGAAGGGTGTTTCCAGAGATGCTTAGAAGATGGAATTAGTGGCCGGGTGGGGTGGCTCAGGCCTGTAATCCCAGCACTTTGGGAGGCCGAAGTGGGTGGTTCACCTGAGGTCAGGAGTTCGAGACCAGCCTGGTCAACATGGTGAAACCAAACTCTGTCTCTACTAAAAATACAAAAATTAGCCAGGCATGGTGGCGTGCACCTGTAGTCCCAGCTAATTGGGGAGGCTGAGGCAGGAGAATCACTTGAACCTGGAGGCAAAGGTTGCAGTGAGCCGAGATCGTGCTGCTGCACTCCAGCCTGGTGACAGAGAAAGACTCCGTCTCAAAAAAAAAAAAAAAAAAAAAAAAAAGGAATTAGCTGAGTTTCATGAGTTGCTTGGGAGGTTTTCTGCAGACAAAGCCTCCCTCTTATCACCCAGAATGGAGTGCAGTAGTGTGATCCTAACTCACTGGAGCCTTGAACTCCTGGGCTCAGGTGATCCTCCTGCTTCAGCCTAAGTAGCTGAGGTTGTGGGCATGAGCCACTGCCCCTGGCTCACATGGCTGCTTAAATGGAAGCGTTAGCTGTTGAGACTGAGAAACATGAAGGACTAGGTAGTATGGGGCTCCCAGAGAGAGGGCAGCCCACAAACAGATAAGCAGAGCTGCCAGAGGGGTCGGAAGACAGCCAGACAGGGATGTAAGAGAGGCTCAAGCAACTCAGTGTTTAGAAAAGGAGCTAGGCTCTCTTTAGTCAGTCATTCACCAAGCATATGTATTCAGCAGCTGCTCTGTCCCAGGTACTCCTCTGGCATGAACAAAACTTCCAATCCCTATCCTATTGGAGCTTGCATTTTTAGAGGGGAGGAGACAGACATATAACATAAGTACAGGGCTGGGCAACATACCAAACATTTAAAAATTAGCTGAGCGGGCCGGGCGCGGTGGCTCACGCCTGTAATCACAACACTTTGGGAGGCCAATGTGGGCAGATCATGAGGTCAGGAGATCAAGACCATCCTGGCTAACACAGTGAAACCCCGTCTCTACTAAAAATACAAAAAAAAAAAAAAATTAGCCAGGCATGGTGGTGGTGGGGACCTGTAGTCCCAGTTACTCAGGAGGCTGAGGCAGAAGAATGGTGTGAACCTGGGAGGTGGAGCTTGCAGTGAGCCGAGATCTCACCACTGCACTCCAGCCTGGGCGACAGAGCTAGACTCCGTCTCAAAAAAAAAAAAAAATTAGCTGAGTATAGTGGTGTCTGCCTGTAATCCCAGCTATTTGGGAGGTTGAGATGGGAGGATCACTTGAGCCCAGGGGTTCTAGGCTGCAGTGAACTGTGATCGTGCCACTGCACTCCAGCCTGGGTGACAGAGCGAGATCCTGTCTCCAAAAAAATAAAATAAAATAATAATAATAATAAAATTACTGTAGAGTTTTTTAAAAAAGAAAGTTTGTTAGATGGTGTGGGACTGGGAATGGTGGAGCTGGGAGGATTGCTTTTTAAAATGGTGGCAGGGGCACAGTGGCTCATGCCTGTAATTCCGGCACTTTGGGAAGCCGAGGCAGGTAGATCACTTGAGGTCGGGAGTTAAAGACCAGTCTGACCAACATGGAGAAATCCTGTCTCTACTAAAAATACAAAATTAGCTGGGTGTGGTGGTGCATGCCTGTAATCCCAGCTACCCAGGAGGGTGAGGCAGGAGAATCGCCTGAACCCAGGAGGCAGAGGTTGCAGTGAGTCGAGATCACACCATTGCACTCCAGCCTGGGCCACAAGTGAAACTCCGTCTCAAAATAAAAACAAAAACAAAAAAAACGGTGGCAGGGGAAGGCCTCATTGAGGCAACACTGGAGTGAAATTTGAAGGTCATGGCATGAACCATGTGACCAAGGAAGCAGCAAACAAACCCTGAGGTGAGCATGTGCAAGTGATCCTTGCGGCTCACTGGGTGCCAGGACCAAACAGCGCTGGGTGCATGGAAGGCCCTGCTTATCGTAGTAGGGAGACAGTATGAATACAGTGGGCCTGGGATCATCACAGGAGCTGTGTTAGCACTGGGTGGGGACCCCCCATTGCAGTGGGCTGGGCCTCACACGAGGGTGGGGGCAAGGAGGGGAGTCAGCAGGGTGCCCAGCTCTGAAGACGCCCAGGGCAGTGGCTTGTCTGGAGTGCTGGCAGCCCAAGTGTGGGTCAGGGAGTCCGGAGAGGGGAGGTCCCCAAGGGCTCCAAGAGGCCACCCAGACTGCAGGGCCACTGAGGGCCTGCTTTGGTTCTGCTGTGAGGCATCCCTGGCTGGCAGAAAGGGCCAAGAAAGGTGGCCTGGCCAGGCAGCAAAAGGGTTTGAAAGGGCTCTAATTCCCAAAAATGAACTACGTGCAGCTCCAGCACTAACAGAAGTCTGGCAGGGGCCTCTGAGGGGCTTGCCAGAGCTAAGGCTGGGAGAAGGTGTGGCTTGAAGTGTGGCCTGAGGCAGGACCCTGGCATGGGCTGAGGTGAGGGAGAAGGCAAAGGTTCTGGAAAACCAAGGGCCCGGAGGCCTGGACAGAGGCCACAGCATCGCCCACCCATATCTTACCTGTAGGCGGCAGCAGCAGCAGCAGCTCACCACCAGCCCTGGGCCCAGAAGCACGCCCCGCCTCCCTGCCCAGTCCCCCGGAAGTCCCCACACCTGAGGCAGATCTTCCTAGGAGCCCTGGAAACTTGATGGAGAGAGGTACAGGTGTGGAGGGGGGTGTTGGGGGATAGCAGACAGTCCCCAGTGGTGACAGCTGTCCCTTCCTTGCCCTACAGAAGAGCTGGCAGGGAATCTGGCCCGGGCCATTGCAGGTGGAGATGAGAAGGGGGCAGCCCAAGCGGCAGCCGTCCTGGCCCAGCATCGTGTGGCCCTCAGCGTTCAGCTTCAGGAGGCCTGCTTCCCACCTGGCCCCATCAGGTGAGGCCTGGGGCTTCTTCCTCACCTTGTCCTTGTGACCCTCCCAGGTCCTCCATCCATCCCTCAACCCACATTCTGGCACAGGCTGCAGGTCACACTTGAAGACGCTGCCTCTGCCGCATCCACCACGTCCTCTGCGCACGTTGCCCTGCAGGTCCACCCACACTGCACCGTTGCAGCTCTCCAGGAACAGGTGGGCACAGGGTCTAGGGAGCCCTGCCAGGGGGCAGGGGAGCCTAGGTGACATCATCTGCCCTGATTGCTCTGGCCGCAGGTGTTCTCAGAGCTCGGTTTCCCGCCAGCTGTGCAACGCTGGGTCATTGGGCGGTGCCTGTGTGTGCCTGAGCGCAGCCTTGCCTCCTATGGGGTTCGGCAGGATGGGGACCCTGCTTTCCTCTACTTGCTGTCAGCTCCTCGAGAAGCCCCAGGTCAGTCCTCAATGGGGGTGGGGTGTGGGAGGTGCGGTGCAGCCCGCCAGTCCTGAGCTCTACCCCCTCAGCCACAGGACCTAGCCCTCAGCGCCCCCAGAAAATGGACGGGGAACTTGGACGCGTGTTTCCCCCATCATTGGGGCTACCCCCAGGCCCCCAGCCAGCTGCCTCCAGCCTGCCCAGTCCTCTCCAGGTGGGCACGGGACTGGGCAGGGAGGGTCAGGACAGCCATGGGCATTGGAAAGAGCAGGGAAGCAACAACTGTCTGTCTTCCCCCAGCCCAGCTGGCCCTGCCCTTCCTGCACCTTCATCAATGCCCCAAGCCGCCCTGGCTGTGAGATGTGTAGCACCCAGAGGCCCTGCACTTGGGATCCCCTTGCCGCAGCTTCCACCTAGCAGCCACCAGAGGTACCAGAGGTGGCTCAGGCAGGGGAGGTGGGGGCACGGCAGAACCTACAGGAATGAGCCAGCTCCACCCCCACAGGTTACAAGGGGAGAGTGGCCCTTCCCTCACAGGCCCGACGTCTCCAGGCCCCCGCCGAACTCAGGGGACCTCTACTGACTGCTTGCTGGGACAGAGTCACCAGGGTTGGGGGAAGGGCCACAAACTGAAACCATTAAAGACACTTACGAGCCAGCAAGTGTTCCTTTCATGGTATCTCTGCAGACCTGCCCCAATCTAGCCAGTACTACAGAGACGCCCTCATCAGCAGGTGGGGCTCCCCCAGCCAGACCCCAGTGGTACCGAAGAGTGGACCTGGACCCTGAGCCTCAGTGGTCAGGAAAGCATGGCATGGGGATCTCTTCCCAGACTCCAGAGGCCTACAGAGCCCCCCACCCAGCTGCTCACCACTGGGCTGAGGCTGCTGGGGTGTGCCACACACTGAGCCGCAGCCCCCACCACTGACCTTGTCTCCTGTCTACCCTGGTCCCCCAGGCCTGCGCCTCTCCTGCCTGCAGCCCTGTTGGCACCACCTTTCTCCCATTCAGCTCTTGCCTTCCCTGGACTCTGGCCACCACTCCCCTCAGCTCTTGCAGCTAGGATACCAGCAATGAAAACGGGTGTTTTCCTTCCCCTCCTAGGGACGAGGGAAGCTCAGGAGCTAAGTCCTACACCAGGTCACTGGGCCAGTGCTGGGTCATGTCTCTGTGACCCTCCTAGATAGCATCCACTGTCTCCCTCCCTCAGCAGCATGCTCCTGTGGGAACCCAGCCACTGCCAGCTTCTGGCCAGGACCGACCACCCAGCTGCCCTGTGGACTGCTAGGAGGGGCCACTCCATGACACACATGCTGCCTGTCTGCTTGACTCCTTCACCTGGCTGGGAGCCATCCCCTTCCTCTCAGTCCAGTACAGCAATAGCCCCTGCCCTAGACCAGGCCTTTTCCCTGTTGAAATGCTGCCGAGGTTCCCTGCTGCCATCAGAATGGGGGCCAAGTGGTTCAACACCTCGACACTTGGCTGTTTATTCCAACAGGTCCCTGGGCCACATCCTGCCTAGCCAGGCCCTTTTCAGCTCTGTGCTCAGACACACCCCATCCCACCCCACCAAATGCTGCCACTTCCTCTAACATCCAGTTGTCTGCTTTCTGTTCCACACCCACTGTCTGCACTCCCAGCTACCAGTTAGTGCAGGGCATTGCTGGCCACACTGAATGGGACATCCTGGGAGCCTTGTGAAGGCAACGGTCTTGGTATCAGAGTCCCTTGCAAACCTGTACTCCTTCCATATAATAGCTCAAATATGATAGTTCAAGTATGTACATTGAGAAGCTTAATTTATTCCCATGATGGGGGCTGAAGGAGGGCCCAGAGCTAGGGCCTGGTCTCCTGTCCCCTTGCCTCTTTTTCCAAACAAACAGGGTGTTAGCCAGCTGAGGCCTGAACAGGCCTGGGATGGCTCTTGGGCTTGAGGGCCTGTTCTGGCAGGATGGCAAGCAGACACTGGACAGGGTCACTTGGGCGGTCGATACGCCAGCTTCCGACTCTTCAGGACTGACCACTTGTGCCGCTTCATGATGTAGGTCAGGGGTATTAGCAGAGCCATCATCGTCAACATCTGCGGGCGAGGAAGGCTCAGAGAAGGGAGTGGGGAGGAGCCCTGCCCAGCTCCCAGCCCTTCTCTGATACCCACCATGGCCTTCTCCCAACCCTTTTACCTTGAGTGCCATGCGTTTTCGATGGTCGTGCTCTGGCTCAGATGCCCAGCGCAGGAAGGTGCACACGTCCTTCGCTATCTGGGACATGGTAGCTGGGGTGCCTGGCCAAGGGCAAGCAGTGAGGGCTATTCTCAGACTCATGTCCAACCTGGGATAACGCACCCCCTCTGTGGAGCAGACACGGGCCCCTACCCAAGGCATCAAAGGGACAGTACCCTCCACCGGACATACGCAAGACTGAAGGACTGAAGGAGCCCAAAAGCCTCCTGAGATATGCACAGAAGACACCCCAGACAAGAAGTGGGCAGGACCTCCTGGGCCCAGGAACACAGGGGAAGCATCCCTGGGGGTAGTGGAGAAGTATTCAACATGCTCACTGCCAGACTGGAGGCCTCTTACCATCGTCAAACTCCAGGACATCTGTGTAGATGGGAGGGGCCATGGCAATGGCCTGGCCAGGAAAGTAGGGGTTGAAGTAGAGACCTTCCCGCAGTGACACCCCGGTGGGTGGCTCGCAGTAGCCCGTGAGCAGGGAGAAGATGTAGTCCTCACCACCATGCCTAGGACCAGATCCATGGCTCCTTAGTCCCGAGCACAAGTCAGCCCTTCCCCGACCTCTCCGGCACCACCCCGTGGGCAGCCCGTGTACCTAGCTCGCGCGATGTAGCTGAGGTCAGGGGGCAATGCTCCGTTGTTGGCAGCTCGAGCAGCCTCAGAGTTGGGGTATGGTTTTGGGAAATAGTCGAACAGTTTCCCTGGCCGCATGAACATCTCCCCATTTTCATTGGGGCCATCCTGAACCTCCACCTGCCACCGAGAGCCTCATCACAACCCTCCCATCTCACCACAGTGGGAGCCCTGAGCCCTGGGTCCCAGGCATCCCCAGACCCCACACCTCCGCAGCCAGCGCCTTAGCTTCATCCTCCGTGTAGCACACGCCCACCAGGTGTCGGTAAGCCACGAAGTTCATGCTGTGGCAGGAGGAGCACACCTGCTTATATACCTGGAAACCCCTCCGGATGCTGGAGGGAGGGAAAGGGTTAGGAACGCTGAAGATTCCACCTTACCAGCTCCACCCAGAACCTCCCCCTGCCAGCCAGCCAGCCAGCTGCATACCTGGTGTGGTCCAAGGAAGAGAGGAAACCACTGTGAGACCACGGATAACTGGGGGGGTGCAGCGCCACGTCACTGGCACTCACAGCCGAATGCAGAGCCACAGCCAGCCCAGCACCCCCTGCCGCCAGCATGCCCAGCGCTGACAGCACCACCTTTCGGCCTCGGGAAAGGCCAGACTTCGACGACAAGGCCACTGCCTGCAAGATCTCCGCTCAGCGCCTGCCAGGACACCACCCAGCCCTACCTGGGGATCTGACTCTCAGCGGCCAACTCTCCACCCAGCAACGGCCACCTCCTGCAGGGCACCAGACGCACACCCTGTCCCACTACCCACGCCATCCCTCTCCGCCGCTGACCCCTAGATCGTGATTCGCTCTCAGGAGGGGGGTGTTCCTGCATCCTCGGCCGGGGATCAGACCGAAGTGACCAAGGGTGCTGGGGCAGGCCAAGGTCACAAGCAGCTGGCCGAGGTCAGGCTGGGGTCACTTCAGGACGCGGGCCCAGTTTGGACAGCCAGCCCCAAGAGCCGTCCTGGGCCCGCCATCCGGGAAAGCCCCCGCCACGAAAGCGAGCCCGTCCAGCCGACCCCCACGCTCGGGACGGGGCGCCCTGCCGTTCGGAGAGGTAGGCGCCCAGCTCCGATCCCACACGCTCAAGGTCGGCAGGCAGCGGGGAGCTGGGGCGCTGGGTGGCCGGGACCGCCTCCGCGCTGCCTCGGCCCGCGCCCGCAGCCTCCCCGCCGTGACCTTCACGGGGATGCGGGGCCGCTCGGAGGCCGAGGCCCGGCCCAGCGCTCACCTGAGGTGTCCGTAGCGGGAGCTGCCCGGGCCGCGCGCTGCACAGCAGACCCCGGGCACGCGCGCCCGGGAGCCCCGCGCCCCGCGGGCCCAACACTACCCCGCGAAGCGAAGCCGCAGCTGCCGCCATCTTGGCCTCCTCCGCGCGGCCGCCACTCCCGTCGGCCCCTGGGGCGCCACGAGAGTCAAAACCTCGCGACAGCGGGGGAGCGCAGGGCGGGGACGGGCGTGGGGGCGGGGCCTGTCGGGTGGGCGGGGACGAAGCGTGCAGGCCCGGGTCGCGTCAGTCAGTGGCAGGGGCACCGCTTGCCGCGCCGCGCTCTTCGGGTTGTCGTGGAAACTGGCGCTGGGGCGGGGCCCCATCGCGTCTCTCTGTTGCCGTGACAGCGCCCCGCCCCGTCCGGCGTTTCCCACGCCGCCTCCAAGACCCGGACGCTCCTTTTCTCCACGTTCCCAGGCTGCGCGATGGCCGGGTGGAGGCTGCCCCTCCAGGTTGAGGACCTGCAGAGAAAGTGCGGCTTGGGGGGCAGCCGGCGGAAGGCACGGGCGGGGGTCTCGGCCGCAGGCAGCGCCTGGCAGCAGGAGGCTGGTCCCCCAGGCTGAGCGCCCTATTTTCCTTCGTTCACTTGACAAGGGTTTATTAGGGATTAGTCATGCGCAGAAACGGGTGCGGGAGCCGCGAGCTGGACGATAAAGGCTCCTCTAGAAGCTTCTCATGGCCCGATGCCTGGCGCGCGCCTGGGGTCTTAGCGCTTTGGGAAGCTGAGGCGGGAGGATCGCTTGAGCCCTGGAGGTTGAGGCTGCAGTGAGCCAAGATCGCCACTGCACTCCAGCCTGGGTCACAGAGCGAGACCTTGTCCCAAAAAAGTAAGTAAATATGATCTTGTTATGTGGGAATATTTTTATTATAAAATATTTTAAAAGTAAGCAAAGATCGGGCGCGGTGGCTCACGCCTGTAATCCCAGCACTTTGGGAGGGTGGGGAGGGCAGATCACGAGGTCAAGAGATGGAGACCATCCTGGTCAACATGGTGAAACCTTGTCTCTACTGAAAATACAAAAATTAGCCAGGCGTGGTGGTGGCGCCTGTAGTCCCAGCTACTCTGGGAAGCTGAGGCAGGAGAATCACTTGAACCCGAGAGGTGGAGGTTGCAGTGGGTAGAGATCCAGCCACTGCACTCCAGCCTGGGTGACAGAGGGAGACTCCATCTCAAAAAAAAAAAAAAAGCAAATAAACTTTAAAAACTAGGCTGGGTGCGGTGGCTCACGCCTGTAATCCCAGCACTTTGGGAGGCTGTGGTGGGCAGATCACCTGAGGTTGTGAGTTTGAGACCAGCCTGACCAACGTGGAGAAACCCTGTGTTATATGTAAAATGTTTATTTAGAAGCAGAATGCTTGTTCCCTAGTACCATAAGGAAAGATCAGCATTCAGACAAAAATTCTCTCAGCAAGTCAATTTTACTTTCTGCAGAAAGGGTGCTCCTCGTGGATGGAACAATGGCGAGAGCACACCTGAATAAAGGAGGGAAGCAATTTTTATCCCTTACCGCAGCTTGTCCCTGCTACTGTGTCCTGTCTCCATTGGCTAGAGCCAGACCGCACAATCTAAACTAAAACCTGACTGGCTAATAATTTAAAACTTTTCTAAATAGGTAAAGGCAAGGGAGAACAGAGGAAAAGAGGAAGTTGCTTATGCCAAATAGGGAAGGGGCATAGGCTGCGAGCTGAAACGTGCCTGTGAGCACGTCCAGCACAACTATTTTGGTTAAGGTACAAGGACATAGAATGTACTACCTGCCTGTGAGCATGTTTAACAGCTACATAGGATAGAGCTTAAAGAATTCTGAGCACAAAGCAAGGAGGCTTGAAGGAAGTTAGTCTGTAAAAGAAACTATTACTTCTAACACTTATGATTTATTCTTTAACAAGAAGGGAAACTGTGAAGAGGAAACTTTTTACTTTCTACACCCCATCTCTACTAAAAATACAAAATTAGCCAGGTGTGGTGGCACATGCTTGTAATCCCAGCTACTCCGGAGGCTGAGGCAGGAGAAGCGCTTGAACCCAGGAGGCCAAGCTTGTGGTGAGCAGAGATGGCGCCATTGCACTCCAGCCTGGCGACAAGAACGAAACTGTCCCAAGAAAAAATAAAATAAAATAAAATAAAAATTAAAAACTAGTTGTGAGTGAAAATGGAGAAGGACCCCTAAAAAATGTGTCCACCCCTCACCTAATAACAGCAAGAAAAACATAGCAAAAATGATCAGAATAAACTTTTACAGAGCTATGGAAATTAATCAAAGGCTTTCATCATCCCAGGGGGTGTTATTCAATTAAACAGGTGACTATCAGTAAGAACAGTGGCCTTTAAGGGCTGTAGCTTTCCCTGCCTGGTTCAACCCTGTCCTCCAGCTCAGTGGTAATCTTGGAAATAAGAACCCATATTTCCTAGTTAATGTGGGAGCAAAATGCCCTCATTCGTATAGAATCTCAGTTATTGAACGTGTCTGATGGCTCCCTGGAAGACTCCTACCACATCAACTCAGGGCTTGCCCAGTGCCAGCTGCCTGAGGTGATGGGTAACAGTTGCCACAAACAATAGACTAAACAAAAAGCTAAAAAGGAAGAGCAAGGGAATGAGATGTTCACAGGGGCTTTGAAAAGCCCAAAACATTTTTGGGAATACAAGT